GCACCACATAAGCAAAAAGAAAAAAGCCGGAAGTGGCGCTGTGGCTCAAGTGGTAGAGCGCTAGCCTTGAGCTGAAGAGCTGATAGACAGTGCCCAGGCCCAGAGTTCAGGCCCCATGACCAGAACCCCCCCCCCAAAAAAAAAATAAAAATAAAACAGGCTCCCTTGACCAATAATTCTACTTTTCTTTTTTCCTGGCACTATAAACAAGGGGCTGGCTGCTTGCAAGGCACGCTGCCAGCCTCCAGCACTCTCAGGAGGCTGAGATCTGAGGATCATGATTCAAAGAGCCTATGAGACTCTTATCTCCAATTAACTACCATAAAAACCAGAAGTGGAGCTGTGTCTCAAATGGTAGAGCAACAAAAGCTCAGGTATAGCACCCAGGCCCTGGTTCAAGACCCAGGACTAGCATCAAAAAAAAAAAAAGTCTTCATTCAGGTAAGGAGACTGTTGATGAATCTGTGAAGTGAGTTACCTTTAGGAAACTAGAAACAATTACCATGTAGTAAAATGGTATGAAGTCCTACAAATGCTGGAGGAAATCTGCTCATTGACCGTGCAACTAAAGCTTTGCAGTTGTTTCAATGCATGTGTTAAGTCTGTGGGACTGCCGTCAAAATGGAAATACAGACTGACACTATCACCCCAAGGGGGAGGGTGACACATGGCACTAATACATGTGCCAAAACCCACACTATGATTCTGCCACACTCGAACCCTAGTGTAAGGCATGGACTGCAGGAGCAGAGGCTGCACATATGTATGGACAGGACATACACAGGGACTTTCTGTACTTTCTCACCAGTTTTCGCGTGGACATGAAGCTCTAAAAAGTAAAGTATATTAATAAAAAGCAAGAGTTTGAAGCTAAGCTGAACCAGTACAAACTCACAGGTTGCTTAGCAAGTTACTTAGCGACTCTTGTCTTGGTTCGCTTGACTTGGAACATGAGGTTCAAGGTGGCGCTGAGCATCATGTTAAATGAGATGAAGCACATGAGGACACAGGAGATGGTGGAGAAAAGATGAACAGACAAAATCCAAGAATGCAGATGCCTCTCGGGACCTTTACTTTTTCCCCTTCATTTAGCAAAATGTGTAAGGTACGAGACTGAAATGCGAGCGCAATCCATTAAAGGGGGGCTTTGGATGCGTCCCAAGGACAAAGTGAGAATTCACTTGCAAGATTTGGGGCATTGTTCACATGCATTTTCCAAATGAGAAAGAACTTTCCTCAGCTTTCTTACCTCTACTGTTTCATTTCAAGGGCTCTCTTAAAAGACTACCACGAAACCTAGCAAATCACAAAGGGATTTTTCTGCTGCCCTTTCCCAGTCTCTCAGTGGCTGGCTGTCTTGCTTTCGTGATGCCGGGGATCAAACCCAGGGCGTTGGGCATGCGAGGCATGTGTTCAGCCACTGAGCCCCCAGCCTTGGCAATTGTCCTTTGTTTAGCCAATTTGGTCTAGAAATTTGCCAGCAAACCAATAGTAACTAAAATGAAGTTAATGATAAACAGCATGAATTAGCTACTTAAATTCTAAAGAGAATCCAAATGTTCAAATAATGACCCCAAAATTAAGGAAAACTACTGGGATTGAAGTCAGGGTCTCATACAGATAAGTGTACTCTACCACTGAGCTATACTCCCAATCCAACTCACCTGTTGACCCTAACTCTGATTCAATATTTTTCTTTTTTTGGTCAGTCGTGGAGCTTGAACTCTGGGCCTGGGTGCTATCCCTGCGCTCTTCAGCTCAAGGCGAGTGCTCTACCGCTTGAGCCACAGCACCACTTCCGGTTTTCTAGTGGTTAACTGGAGGTAAGAGTCTCATGGACTTTTCTGCCCAGGCTGGCTTTGAACCTTGATCCTCAGATCTCAGCCTCCTCAGTAGCTAGGATTACAAGCATGAGCCACTGGCGCCTGGCTTGATTCAATATTTTTTTGAGCAATTAAACTTAGCCAGTAACGATACCATTTCCAGAGGCCGGAATAACCTCACATTCTGTTGCATACACACTTTTATTTTTGTCACTCATGGGGCTTGAACTCTGGGCCTGGGCGCTGTCCCTCAGCTCTTCAGCTCAAGGCGAGCGCTCTACCACTTGAGCCACAGCACAATTTTCAGTTTTCTGGTGGCTTATTGGTGCTAAGAATCTCATAGACTTTCCTGCCTGGGGTGGCAATCCTCAGATCTCAGCCTCCTGAGTAGCTAGGATTATAGGCATGAGCCACTGGTGCCCGGCCTGTTACACACACTCTTATTCCTGGTGGTTGATCAAAACGTGATGATGCATGATAATAAATGACCTCCAAAGAGATATGGCTGACTCAGCACAAAGCCGACCAGCTCTGAAGCAGAGTGCCATACCTGTAACTCTTGTAAAATGGAGGCTGCCTCCTTCACATCTCCATTTTGTTCTTTTATCGTTGCTAAGGTTTTGGTCAGTCGAGCACGCTCAATTTCAACATAAATCTACAAAGAAAAGGAGAATTTTCTGTTATCAAGTGTAAAAGGTAGAATGGAAGAGTGATGGAGCTATGTGCAGGAGTCCAGCACATCCTGCGGCTGCGCATCAGCCGCTACACGCCCGGCTGAGTCCTCACTCGCACAGTGAAACTGGAAAGGAAATGTCTATGAAGCACAGCATTTCTCAGCTTTGCTTTCACAACCTAAATATGTTGAAATTACTGTATTTAACAAATAATAGGACCCCAAGATATAAAAATAAATTACACAGAAAATGGAAAAAGGCTTAAAAATATGTATTTGTTGCTGTTGTTGTTATTGTTGGTCATAGGTCTTGAACTCTGGGCCTACGCACTGTCCCTCAGCTCTTCAGCTAAAGGCTAGCACTCTACTGCTTGAGCCACAGCACCATTTCTGGTTTTCTGGTGGTTCACAGACTTTCTTGCCCAGGCTGGCTTTGAACTGCAATCCTCAGATCTCAGCCTCCAGAATAGCTAGGATTACAGTTGTGAGCCACCCGTGCCTGGCTTTAAAATAATTATTTTAAAAAATTACACACTTTGGAAGTGGCACTGTGGCTCAAGTGGTAGAGGGCTGGCCTTGAGCTGAAGAGCTGAGGGATAGCGCCAAGCCCAGAGTTCAAGCCCCATGACCACCACCACCACCAACAAAAAGACACACTTTACAGAGAGTATATACAGTTCACTATCTGCAATTCAAATACTGTTTGCTAGTCATGAGGCTTGAACTCAGGGCCTGGTACTGTCCCTGAGCTTTTTTGGTCAAGGCCAGTGCTCCATCACTGGAGCCACAGCTCTACTTCAGGTTTTGTGGTTGTAAACTGAAGATAAAAAGTCTCAAGGACAGGCTGGGAAGGTGGCTCAGTGGTAGAGCGCTTGTCTTGCTTTTTTTCTTTTTTGTGCCCATCCTGGGTCTTGAACTCAGGGCCAGGGCAGTGAGCTTTTATTGCTTAAAAGTAGCCACTTGAGGAACAGAATAGAAGATCCAGAAATAAATCCACAGGCCTACAGCCAGCTGATATTCGACAAAGGAGCCAAAGACATACAATGGAAGAAATACAGCCTCTTCAACCGCTGGTGCTGGGAAAACTGGGCAGCCACATGCAGAAAACTAAAAGTGGACCCCAGCCTATCACCATGCACCAGCATCAACTCAAAATGGATTAAAGACCTTAACATTAAACCTGAATCTCTGAAACTACTGCAGGACAGAGTAGGAGAGACACTTGAACTAATAGGCACAGGAAGGAACTTCCTGAACAGAGTCCCAGGGTCACAACAAGTTGGAGAGAGACTCGACAAATGGGACTACCTTAAAATAAAAAGCTTCTGCACAGCTAAATCTATTGCAACTAAGCTAGAAAGACAACCAACTAATTGGGAAAAAATATTTACCAGCAATATATCAGACAAGGGGTTAACATCCTGTATATACAGGGAACTCAAGAAACTAATCCCTCCCAAACCTAACAAACCAATTACTAAATGGGCAAGGGAACTAAAGAGGGACTTCTCAAATGAAGAAATAAAAATGGCAAAGAAACACATGAGGAAATGTTCATCATCCCTGGTGGTGAAGGAAATGCAAATAAAGACAACCCTGAGATACCACCTTACCCCAGTCAGAATGTCCCACATCCACAAATCAGCCAACGACAAATGCTGGAGGGGATGTGGAGAAAGAGGAACCCTATTACACTGCTGGTGGGAATGTACACTTATACAACCACTTTGGAAAGCAGTATGGAGGGTCCTTAGAAAGCTAAAGATTGACCTCCCTTACGACCCAGTCATACCACTTCTAGGCATCTACCCTGAACAACAGAAACCAATATACAAGGACACGTGCACCTCCATGTTTATTGCAGCACTGTTCACAATAGCTAGGATATGGAAACAACCCAGATGCCCCACGACAGATGAATGGATCCAAAAATTGTGGTATCTATACACAATGGAATATTATGCAGCCATTAGAAATGACAAAATAATGGCATTTGCAGGGAAATGGATGGAGCTAGAAGGAATCATGTTGAGCGAGGTAAGCCAAGAGCGAAGAGACAAACGGTACATGGTCTCCCTGATAAGTGGATGATAAAACCGAAATGTTAGGTGATACGACAAAACCAACAGGACTTAAGAAACAAAGAACTCCTGCTCATCTGGTTGAACCACTACTAAATATCCCCATGCTGCTGATCACATGTATGGTGTATAACATGTGATCACTGTTATATATTACAGACTGTGATAGACAATTTGCTCCAGGAAAGTTAGAATGAACTTGTGACTTAGAAATTATGTAATCACTTAATCACAATCAAGAAAAAAAAGAACTTCGGGGAAGGGAGGGAGGGAGGGGATGGTAGGGGGAAAACAATGGAGGGGCTAACAATGTTCAAGAGGAAGTGTATTCATTACCTCACTCATGTAACTGTAACCCTCTGTATAGTATCTTTACAATAAAAAATTAAAAAAAAAAAAAAAGTAGCCACTTGAGCCACATCTCTACTTTCAAATTTTTTGGCAGTTTATTGGAGATAAGAGTCTCAAGGACTTTCTGCCCAGGCTGGCTTCAAACTGTGATCCTCAGATCTCAGCCTTCTGAGTAGAGAGGATATAGGCATCTAGCCACTGGCATCTAGCTGTCCTTTTTCTTAAAAAGCATAGATATACACACACACATAAAATGCCCCAATACCTAAGTGTGGTGAATACAGACTCGAGCACTGACCACTGTGAGTTACACTGACAGGTCACTCACCTTTCCCTCAGTGACCATCCTTAGAGTGTCAATTAATCGCAGTTTGACTGGAAGGTCTGTGATCTCCTCCACATAGGTGCAGCACTGTTGAACCATTTTTGCAACAGCCTAAAATATTAAAAACCTCTGTGAGATCCATGTATATTTGGTTTTCCCAAGTAACTCTAGACTCTGAAATAATCACAGATGTCCTCAAAGTACATCCACGTCTTTCTGATTGCCAAGAAGTACCAACTATCCAGCAACTCATCAATAATGGTTGGGAAAGCTCAGGTGCAAAGGGGCAGCCAGCAGAGAGGCAGGAAGAAGTGGCAGCAGACTTAAGGGAAAGACAGAGAGGAGGACCATACAGTGCCAAAACCGGATCAAGGGAGGACAAGAGTTGGTGGCAGAGCAGGAAGGAGACATTGCTGTACGCTGGGGTGAGGAGCCGCAGCGAGAACACCACTTCAGTCAGATGCGCCACTGAAATGCACAGTCTCTTGCCCTTAGTTTCCTCAAGAAATATAAGGGGACAGGGACTCATCTAACACTCCACGGGCTAAGAGTAATATTTTCGTTGTTGTTGGCCATAGGGCTTGAACTCATGGCCTGGGTGCTGTCCCTGAGCTTTTGCACTCAAGGTTAGCACTCTACCACTTTGAGCCACAGCGCCACTTCAGTTTTCTAGTGATTAATTGGATATAAGAATCTCATGGGCTTTCCTGCCCTGGCTGGCTCTGAACTGCGACCCTCAAATCTCAGCCTCCTGAGTAGTTAGTATTAGAGGTGTGAGCCACTGGTGCCTGGTAATAGTAATATTTTGTGTAAATTTTCAAGTATTTGCCAAGTAACCTTGGACTGTGTGGAACACCCAATCTCTGGGGCACGTAAGCAACTCTGCCATTGGAACTTGAAAGCTGACAGGGAAAACATACACATAAATGTATGGGGTTGTATTCTAGCTTATCTATAAAAATAAGTGAGGGCTGGGAAGGTGGCTCAGTGGTAGAGTGCTTGCCTTGCATCCATGAGGCCCTGGGTTCGATTCCTCAGCACCACATAAGCAAAAAAAAAGCTGGAAGTGGTGCTGTGGCTCAAGTGGTAGGGCACTAGCCCTGAGCTGAAGAGCTGAGGGGCAGTGCCCAGACCCAGAGTTCAGGCACCATGACTGGCAAAAAAAAAAAAAAAAGTGACCCATCATTTGCCAAACTCTGGTCTAGATTTTAAGTAGCAAATCATAATCACTGATAATAACTTAGACCTGAGTCATCAAGAAAATATTAAATCACATTAAATATAATTTAAGCTAGCCAAAAATAAAAAGAGCACCTGTTATAAAGACCTCTATAAAAAAAACTTACGTTCAAGTAGCCCAGGTTATCTTCAGCTCAAAAAACTAAGGGCTTTGTTTTTTTCTTCTCTGCAGATGGTATCTCACCATGCTACCCAGGCTGGCCTCCAATCTGGACTCAGCGTCCAGAGCAGATGGAAGGCACACACACTGCCTAGCCACTTTTTCCATTGTGAAATATAATGCATTTAATAAGTGCAAGGCTCCAGGAAACCCAGTCTCTCACAAAACATGTAAGTCCTCTGAGAAAGTCCTTTAAGTTATAATAGTGGTTTCTAGAAGAGCACCCAACAGTGATAATTCTAAAAGCTGTGTGAAAAGTATATTTTTAGGGAAGGAGTATCAGTGCTTTCCTAGTGTGCAAGGCTCCATTCCCAGCATGCCATCCCAGCAATGAATGACAGGAACTTCAGATAAAGATGAAGTAAGTGATTAACAAGAGAGTTTAAATAGAAGTTTATCAGCTTGAAGACTGTAACACAACCACTTAAAAATGAAATAAGAGGCACAAGGGAAACAGAACAAAGCTGCACTGACACTTAAGAGAAGAAATGTAAACAGTTGTGTCACTGGGAAAATCTAGATTTAAAAACAGCCTTATATTCTTCTTTTTTTTTTTTTTTGCCGGTCATGGGGCCTGAACTCTGGGCCTGGGCACTGTCCCTCAGCTCTTCAGCTCAAGGCTAGCACTCTACCACTTGAGCCACAGCACCACTTCCAGCTTTTTCTGCTTAGGTGGTGCTGAGGAATCGAACCCAGGGCCTCATACATGCAAGGCAAACACTCTACCACTGGGCCACCTTCCCAGCCCCTTCTTCTTATTTTTTGTTGTTGTTGTTCTACCCCTTGAGCCACAGCACAACTTCTGGCTTTTTCTTTTTATATGGTACTGAGGAATTGAACCCAGGGCTTCATGCATGCTAGGCAAGCACTCTACCACTAAGCCACCTTCCCAGCCCCACATCCTTATATTCTGTAATGATGATTTAACATGTTACAAAAAGTCACAAGAACAGTCTTCCAGGTTCTTATTTAAATGCAAATGTTTTTCAAGTGACCATGAACTCACTTGTTTTAACTGACTCCGCCTTTTGGACAGAAGCATAATATTTTCGTTAAGTAAGTCCCATTCTTTAGCCTCATAGCACATCTTCACCACTGCCACTAAGATGCGGGAGGTGGACACCATGTCGGAGGCCTGCAGGAGAGCAGCAGAGTGAGCAGTAAGTGAACCAATGCTGAGTGAAGCCCCTGGCACTGAGAGCCTCACGCTAATGTACTCACAGTGCGGGTCTGTTTTTCTAAAGATAGAAGGGTTTCAATGACTTCTTGAAGTCTTCCTTCCTAGAACAAAAGACAAAAGTAAACAATGAAAAACGGCAACACCAAGGTACACCAGTCGTTGAGCTGTTTGGGAAAACCAAAGACTCATTTGGACAAAGTATCAGTCATGGCCCTGCTTGCTTCCCCAGGGCTTCCCTACGGGGGCTCAAGTTTTTCAACAGGTACAACAGTCTAAAAAAACAAACAAACAAAAACTAAGATAAAGTAGTCATGATCGCGGGTGCTGGTGGCACATGCTTGTAATGCTAGCTACTCAGGAGGTTGAGATCTGAGGATCACAGTTCAAAGCCAGTCCCGCGTAGGAAAGTCCGTGAGACTCTTCAATGAACCACCAGAAAACTGGAAGTGGTGCTGTGGCTCAAGTGGCAGAGCTGGAGAGCTGAGGTACAGCTCCCAGACCCAGAGTTTAAGCCCCATGACCACTACCACCACCAACAAAAAGTCATGATCTCTCAGCTAGAGCTAGCCAGTCTTTGAGATTCTGATTTATCAACTCAGACCAGTGATACCTGTTTGTCTTGTTCTGCACAGAGATTAGCTGGGTAGTCACAGGTGACTTTAACAAATAAAATGGGAGAATAAACTGAGTACCGGTGGCTCATACTTATAATCCTAGCTACTAGGGAGGCTGAGGTCCAGAAAACTGCCTGAGCAGAAAAATCTGCAAGATGACAGCTCTAGGAATTGGAGGGAGGGGTGTGTGTGTGTATTTTTTTTTGGGGGGGGGGTCTGGTCGTGGAGCCTGACCTCTGGGCCTGGGTGCTGTCCCTCAGCTCTTCAGCTCAAGGCTAGCGCTCTACCATACAGCGCCACTTCCAGTTTTCTGGTGGTTTATTGGAGATAGGAGTCTCATGGTCTCTCCTGCCCGGGCTGGCTTTGACCCTTGATCCTCAGATCTCAGCCTCCTGAGTAGCTAGGATTACAGGCGTGAGCCACCAGCGCCCGGCTACTAGTACATTTCTTATCAAGCATTGTTGCCTCCTTTTTGTTTCCCCTTCCCATACTCCTCCTACTTGATCCCCCCCCACCAAAGTTATAAAGTTCGTTTTTCAACATAACAACTTGTACATGTGTGTGTTGGCCTTGAGTGTTGCCCCTGAGCTTTTCTGCTTATGGCTAGCATTTTACCACTTGAGGCACAGTTCCACTTCTGGTTTTTTGGTGGTTAAATGGAGATCAGAGTCCCATGGATTTTCCTGCCCAGGATGGTTTAAAACGGGGAGTACTCAGATTTCAGCTTCCTGAGTAGCTAAGAGTACAGGAGTGAGCCATTGGTGCCTGGCAAAATTTTGTATTTTTATGTAGCACAAAATATGGACTTAAGGGCTGGGAAGGTGGCTCAGTGGTAGAGTGCTTGCCTAGCATGCATGAGGCCCTGGTTTTGATTCCTCAGCAGCACATAAGCAGAAAAAGCTGGAAATGGTGCTGTGGCTCAAGTAGTAGAGTGCTAGCCTTGAGCTGAAGAGCTGAGGGACAGCGCCCAGGCCCAGAGTTCAGGTCCCATGTCTGACCAAAAAAAAAAAAAAAGGACTTAAGCTGGGTGTGGTGGCTTATGCTTGTAATCCTAGCTACTTAGGAGGCTGAGATCTGCTGTTCAAAGCCAGCCTGGGTTGGAAAGGCCATGAGACTCTTATCTCCAATGAACACTCAGAAAACCCGAAGTGCCGCTGTGGCTCCAGTGGTAGAGAGCTAACCTTGAGCTGAAGAGCTGAGGGTCAGCGCCCAAGCCCAGCGTTCAAGCCCCATGACTGACAAAAGAAAAAAAAGAAAAAAAAAGGACTTATAGCCACAACTGGAACTTATTTTACCTAAATCTGGAACTTGACTATTAACATATTCCCATATCCCCTTTGCAAAGGAGACTAGCAGTTCTGAAAACTCTGCAGGCTCATGTGTGATACTGGCTAAACATTTACCAAAGGAAAAAAAAATCAATGGGCAGGGGCTGGGAAGGTGGCTCAGTGGTAGAGCGCTTGCCTTGCATGCTCGAGGCCCTGGGTTCGATTCCTCAGCACCACATAAGCAGAAAGAAAAAAGCCATAAGTGGCGCTGTGGCTCAAGTGGTAGAGCGCTAGCCTTGAGCTGAAGAGCTGAGGGACAGCGCCCAGGCCCAGAGTTCAGGCCCCACGACCGGACCAAAAAAAAAAAAAATCAATGGGCAAATCTATAAATTCTGTAAGTTGAAGGTGAGTAAACCAAAAGAAATCAAGGAATCAATCTTCTTACTGGAAAGACTACCAGAGATGGCTTAATTTCATCACCTACTTTCCACATTAAAAAGCCAGGGGACAGAACAGTGTGAGTGACTGTTCAGCCCCAAGGCGAGCAGCAGATCCTGATCTTTGGGGCTCCTCCTTTCTGGTCCTGGGTTCCCTCCACCACGCTGCAGCACTCACCGCAGCAGCCTACTGCATATCACGCCTGTCGATCCAAGCCATCTCTGCAGGGAAATGGCTGGCATATGGAAAAGAAGTATAGAAAATGTACAATACTACTGTTCACAGAGACAGTCATCGCCTGGCATTGTCACAACTGCTATGATCATGTGATAGGATTGGCAGAGGACAGATGGAACGTGGCAGTCTCATTCAGAAGCAAGAGCAATAAAGACTGGCAGCCTGCAAGAGAGGAAAGCACACAACTACTCTGGAGCCATGAAGAGCAGTAAGAACAGGACACAGAATATCTCTAAACGGGGTTGCTAAGGCTGGGTCTTCTGAGCTCTTCTGGTTCTTCTGTGCTCACTGAGCAGTTCCTGCAGCACTCAGCCTCATGCTGCTCTGCAGTTAGCACAAACTATATTGTCTTGGTGTAGCTGCCTTTTGTATCTCAGCAGGGTGTCAGCTCTGTAGGAGCAACGACATGCCTACACTGCGTGCCAAGGCAGCTCAGTGGGCCCTGGCGCCAGCCAAGCACACGGCACTTCCTTCCTTTCACACCTACATCACGCATGAATCTTACCTATGGGATGGTCATGAGCTCTTTTAGCATGCAGCTGTGTGCAACTTCACTTTCTTCGCATCAATCTGCACCATGTGTGTTAAATGGTAGGCACTGACCTGAACAATATTTAAGGTTCCTGGTTCTTGACTCTTACTGTCACATAAGGAGGTTGTAGCTGTCTTATAGTGCTGTTCGAGGGACACCCCCCATCAGCCTCACAAAACACACCTTGACTCAGTAGTCCCCCCCATCTCCCTCACCCCCTGCCCCGCAAGTCTCCCACGTCTAACCCTGCGGTGTCCCGCTGTCCCACAGAATTCCTGGGAGTCAGCCTCGCCATGCTGCCTTCTTCTCAGAAGGAACAAGGCAGCAAAAGTGACCAGAGTGACCTGCCAGGACGGGTGACTTCTGTGACTCGTGTTCCTCAATAGAGAATCTTGCGAATGAGGCTGATGACTAGTGAGTGTGCCCAACTTCAGTCCACGCAGGGATCTCCAAGTCCTCCATGTCTGCCTTGTTCAAGGCTCTCATTTGCTCTATTTTGTAAGTGAGGTGCTAACTGAACAAGAAGAGAACTAATAGAAGTTGAACTTTAAAGCCAATTTGGTACTTTTTTTTTTCCTTTCTGGTTTTCTGGTCGTTAATTGGAGATAAGAGTCTCACAGACTTTCCTGCCCCACTGGTTTTGAATCATGATCCTTACATCTTAGCCTCCTGAGTAGCTAGGATTACAGGCGTGAGCCACCAGCACCCAGGCTGTATTAGTTTTTTACGCAAGCTGCTGCCTGTACAGTTTTTTTTTGGGGTCCGGTTGTGGGTCCTGAACTCTGGGCCTTGGCACTGTCCCTCAGCTCTTCAGCTCAAGGCTAGTGCCCTACCACTTGAGCCACAGCACCACTTCCAGCTTTTCTCTTTTTGCTTATGTGGTGCTAAGGAATCGAACCCAGGGCCTCATGCATGCAAGGCAAGCGCTCTACCACTGAGCCACCTTCCCAGCCCCTGCCTGTACACTTTTACATTTCACATCATCCCCACATTCCCAACGCGTCATCAGCAGGAGCAGCAAACCCTTTGTGAGTTAAGACCTGTCGTGAACCTTACCATGTAGTTCAGAAAGACTCTCTTTAGATGCCCAACTCATCAATACAGGGTAAAAAGAGGACTGGCACTGAGCATTAGGATGGACTTTATCTATCATTAATTAGTCTCATGTGGGTCCTTTTACACCAGTCACAGAGCACTAGAAGGGATGGGCAAAAACATCGCTGTATCTGGTCTGCCTTTTGTCTTCAAAGAAGGGAGAACAATTTCAGTATCCCCATGGGGCAGCTCTAAAGATCTACCTGCCACACAGTGCACACATCACAGCACAGCTGACTTTCTTACAGATCTTACACAGCAGTAATACCAGTTATTGTTACCAGAATACTAGTTATTGTGCCACTCCAGAACTGTGCCTGCACACACTTTTAAGAGATTCAAAGACTTGTTGGATACTGGTGGCTCACGCCTATAATCCTAGCTACTCAGGAGGCTGAGATGTGAGGATCACGGTTTGAAGCCAGCCCAAGGCAGAACAGTCCGTGAAACTAACCTCCAATTGACCACCAAAAGACTGGAAGTGGAGCTATGGCTCAAGTAGTGCAGAGATAGCCTTGAGCGAAAAAGCTCAGGGACAGCACCCAGGCAGGCCCTAACTTCAAGCCTCAGAACTGGAACCAAGCCTGCAACAGTGGCTCATGGCTGTAATCCTAGCTACTTAGGAGGCTGAGATCTGAGGATAGGTTCAAAGCCAGCCCAGGCAGCAAAGTCCGTGAAACTCTTATCTCTAATAAACCACTCAGAAAACCAGAAGTGGTGCTGTGGCTCAAGCTGTAGAGTACTAGCCATGAGCTGAAGAGTTGAGGGACAGTGCCCAGGCCCAGAGTTCAAGCCCCACGACTGACAAAAAAAAAAAAAGAACAGGAACCAAAAAAAAAAAAGTGTGTGTGTGTGTGTGTGTGTGTAGAAGTTGGCCCAGACTTGGCAATTTCACTATTCAGATCTAGAGTTCAGACTGCCTTCTAAGACTTCTGCTGGTTCTCTTACCTGGACACATTCTTTTTTTTTTTTTAATTTTATTTTATTTTATTTGTGAACATACTGTACAGAGGGGTTACAATTGCATGGGCAGGATAATGCGTACATTTCTTACCAAGCATTGCAGCCTCCTCCTTTGTTTACCCTTCCCATCCCTTCCCAGCCTCCCCCCCTGGACACATTCTTAAGTCCCCATACTTACAATTTTATCTTCTATTTTTTGGGGGGGAGAATGGGAGTGGGGGCGTGGGTCCTGGGTTTAAACTCTGAGCTTGGGTACTGTCCCTGAGCTCCTTTTGCTCAAGGCTAGCGCTATACCACTTGACACACTGTGCCACTTCTGGCTTTTTCTGTGATTAATTGGGAGATAAGAATCTCATGGACCTGCTGGGCGCCGGTGGCTCACGCCTGTAATCCTAGCCACTCAGGAGGCTGAGATCTGAGGAGCCTGGTTCAAAGCCAGCCCGGGCAGGAAAGTCTGTGAGACTCTTATCTCCAATAAACCACTAGAAAATCGGAAGTGGCGCGCTGTGGCTCAAGCGGTAGAGAGCTCGCCTTGAGCTGAAGAGCTGAGGGACAGCACCCAAGCCCAGAGTTCAAGGCCCATGACCGACCAAAAAATAAATAAATAAAAAGAAAAAAGAAAAAAGAAAAGAATCTCATGGACTTTCCTGACTGGGTTGGCTTTGAACTGTGATCCTCAGATCTTAGCCTCCTAAGTAGCTAGGATTACACACATGAGCTACCAGTGCCCAGCACAATTTTATCTTCACAGCGAAAATAGACCTGAGCTTCATGTGTCTAGGATAAACCATTAAAACTACCTGATCCTCTCAAATGTCAACAACAAAACAGCAGCTTTGTTGATGACGTAAAGTGGAAAACATAGGGGCTGGGAAGGTGGCTCAGTGGTAGAGCGCTTGCCTTGCATGCATGAGGCCCTGGGTTCGATTCCTCAGCACCACATAAGCAAAAAGCCGGAAATGGCACTGTGGCTCAAGTGGTAGAGTGCTAGCCTTGAGCTGAAGAGCTGAGGGACAGCGCCCAGGCCCAGAGTTCAGGCCCCACGACCGGACCTCCCCCCCCAAAAAAAATTAACCACACTGTAAGGCAGTCTGCAAGTTGAAAACTGTAGATCTGTCTCAGAAGAAAACATTTTTTTCTTTCTCCCTCTCTATACTCTTTTCTCCCACCCCTCTCACAGCCCCATGAAAAGAAAATCAAACAAAAAACCAATCACATATACATCTTGCTGATAGAATACCAATGTCTTTAATAGGCACAAACATTCTCATCTAACGCCCAAAGAGGCAACTGGCATTTGAGCCTGCCGTTCTTTCCCACTGTATTAAACATAGAAAGGTCCTGATTTAAAGCTGCACTTTGGATCACAAGAACAACTTCAGCAGTGAACACTTTTTTCCTCATAGGTTATATGCTATATGAGGACAGAAGCTCTAATAGTCATGCTCCATGGAGCATCTAGCCCTGGCTAGGACTTTCTTTTGTATTTGCTTTTTTTTTTCTCTCGGATAGGATCTGAAAGAATGCTATCTTTCAGATAGCATTTTTGCTGGGAAGGCTGACCTTGCTCTGCAATTCTCCTACGTATGCTTTCAAGTAGCTAGAAACATAGTCATATAACATCAAGACTGGCTGATTGGTTGAGATAGATTCTTGTTAACTTTGTGCTCAGGCTTGCCTTGAACTGAGCTTTCCCAGCCCCACTGTCTAGGTCTAGTGCACAATAGCCTACTATCACAAGACATAGGTAAAAGGAAGATTTTTTTCCTTGCAGATCTCAGTTTTAGGAACAGCCATACTTCTTTTTGTTATTGTTGTTGTCAGTTGTGGGGCTTGAACTCAGGATCTGGGCACTGTCCCCAAAGCTTTTCTGTTCAAGGCTAGCACTCTATCACTTGAGCCACAGCTCTACTTCAGGTTTTCCAGTAGTTAATTGGAGATAAGAGTCTCATGGACTTTCCTGCCCCAGTTGGCTTTGAACTGCGATCCTCAGGTCTCAGCCTCATGAGTAGCTAGGATGACAGGAGGGAGCCACCAGTGCTTGACTCAATTACCATTTCAAGGCAAGTAAGTATCCAGTTTCTAAATATTATGGCATTTCACATTAAGAGTCCATATTTCTAGGGCTGGGAATGTGGCTTAGTGGTAGAGTGCTGAGGCTGAGGACATATCTCAGCCTTCTTTTTGTAAAGCCCCACTCAGTTTTTTTGTTTGTTTGTTTTGTTTTTTGGGTCCAGTCATGGGGCCTGAACTCTGGGCCTGGGCACTGTCCCTCAGCTCTTCAGCTCAAGGCTAGCACTCCACCACTTGAGCCACAGTGCCACTTCCGGCTTTTTTCTTTTTGCTTATGTGGTGCTCAGGAATCGAACCCAGGGCCTCATGCATGCAAGGCAAGCGCTCTACCACTGAGCCACCTTCCCAGGTGCCCCACTCAGTTTTGAAAAAAAGAAAAGCATTAAAAGGTTTCCTTCTAAGAACTAGATGTGACATGTTTCTAAATGCTCCTTTTGCCTATGAATTTTGTACTATGCTACAATGTACTTATGCAGTAAGATCCCTAGGAACAACTGCAAGTCTTGCTGTGAACACAACCAGGTGGACAATAGTATGTGTTTGCCATGGAATTCCTCAAGGAATTCAAGGAGGCCTGGGCATAATCCTTAGCACCAGGATGGATGCTGATTCTGCAAGTACCCATCCCCTTAAGAGGACCTAGAGTTTTGAATCCTGGATTCTAATGATGACCAACTGTAACTGGATCAAATTACTTTGAGCCTTGGTTACTTTGTGTAAAATGATATACAAAGTTGTTTGACTCAAGACAAAAATTTTTTTTAACTAAGTTTCTATTCCATTGTGGAAGGGCGGGGTATAACTCAGGCCTAGAGTATGCAGATCCTGAGTTTAAGGCCCTGGCACTGCAAAAGTATTAACAAATCCAATTCCATGGAAGATAAGCAGTTGAGCTATTGTTTATGACATCTCATTAAGCGATTGTGTGCACTTTTGTGTCTTCGTGTCTTTCTTCTAGTACTGCCTTCTTTTGGAATGATCCTTCCCTATTCCCAACACTAAGACCAATTCAAACATCAGCTTTTTGCCAGTAATCAGAACAAACACATGCAGGGCACCAATGGCACCTGTCTATAATCCTAGCTAACTCAGGAGGCCGAGATCTGAGGATTGCCAGTCAAAGCCAGTCCGGGCAGATCAATCCCAGAAACTCTCACCTCCAGTTAACTAGCAAAAAGCTGGATAGACAGGTGTGGCTCAAGTGATAGAACTCCTGTTCTGAACGCAAAAAGCAAACCAAGAGCGCAAGACCCTGAGTTCCAGCTCCCAAACCGGTACGAGAGAAAGGAGAGAGGAGAAAGAGGCGAGAGAACATATAAGAAGGAGGGACAAAGAGAGGGAGAGAGAGAACGAGAATAAGAACACACACACACCTTCCACTTGATGTCTGACTCGGATTAATTCGTTCTGCTCACTACCTCCTCCTCCAGGACGAGGGTCCCGGGTGAATGAGGCGTGCATCACCATCGTCTTCCTCCGTCTCCTCTCCCAGTTAAGGATCAGGCACACTGCCTTTATTCCTAAGCGAGCCCATGACATATACACTGACTTCGCTAACGGCGACAGAACCAAACTCCCTGATCTAGATTGAAGGCGAGGGTGGCCTCAACCTACCTGGGAAACCTAAACGTCACTCGACACTCGAGAAAGAGGGAACCCCCCCCCCAACCTCTATGGGGCAGAAAGGAGCGATCGCCTGGCCCCGAGGAGCTCGGGAGGCTGTAAGCACGAGCGTGCTCCGGCTGCAAGGGTCCCTCGCGGGCAGACGTGGGATCGCGCCCTGCAGGACGCTGGGCTGGGCGGGCGGCGGGGGCGCCCCAGCCCGCAGGCCCCGAGGCCTAGGCAAGATCCGCGCCGTGACTCAGCCCCTGGAGCCCGCCAGCAGCCACCCGGCTCCCCCTCACCTTCGCGAGCTTCTCGCACTCGGGAAGGCGCTGGTCCACCGTGGCGCTATAGTCCACCTCCATCTTCACGATGCGCCCATCAGCCCGCTCCGAGCCGCCGTCCGCCATGGTGCCCGCGGAGTGTTCCCCTCGGTCCCTCGACGCCTCCGCCACTACGTTCCACTCACACCGGAAGCCACCCGCGAAACCAAGGCAGGCAGCGCGCCGGGCACCCGCGCGAAGGACCCCCTCGAGGTCCCTGGAGCCTGTTATCAGACAGGCAGTGACGCGGACAGCTCTAGGGGCGGGGCCTGGGGCGGAGCGGGGCGGGGCCTCGGCCCGCGATGGGCGGGGCCCGCCGCTGGTCCCAGCTTCCCACGTCCGGTGTCGTCGCTGTGGGAAGCTCAGGCTCAGGTTTGCGGTGAGAAAAGCGATTGGGAGACTCGCGGGCAAGTCTCTGAACTTTTCTTGGACTTCGGTTTGATTTTTTTTTTCTCACGGAGGAAATAAACCTTAAAGAACACAGCTCTAAGGCGTTATCTGCTCGGCAGCCTTGGTGGCTTCATCCGTGGGGGCTCAGAAGTAGAGCCCGGGAACGCTTGTCCTCGTCTGTATGCTAACCACCGTGTTGGTGAGACGAGCGCCTAGAAAGACCTTTGGTGTGCTGCTTCCACGGGATTCCTGTGAGCATCAGACCCGGGCACGTGGGGACCATTGCAGTTCCTAAGCATCCTACACCTTTCAGTGTCGTTTGCACCCTCAGGGTCCCTGTAAAATATCATCGTTGGGAGCCGCAGCTGGAGGCTCACGCCTGTCATCCCAGCTTCCCGGGAGGCTGAGATCTGAGGATCGTGGTTGACAGCCAGCCTGGGCCGGAAAGTCTGTGAGACTCTTACCTCCAATAACCAGGAAAGTTGGGAGTGGCGCTGTAGCTCAAGTGGTAAGAGCACTAGGCTTGAACAAAAAGCTCAAGGACAGAACTCAGGCCCTGAGTTCAAGCCTCCTCTCTCCCTCCCTCCCTCCCCCCTCCCTGTCTGAGTGTCTCTCTCTGAGTGTCTCTGTCTGTCTCTGTCTTTCACACACACACACACAGTCTAAAAGATATTTCACCAGCCCCTGGTGGTCACACCTGTAATCCTAGCTACTTAGGAGGCTCAGATCTGAGCATCATGGTTTGATGCCAGCAGGAAAGTCCGTGAGAGTCTTATCTCCAATTAACCATCAGAAAGCCCTTAGTGGTGCTGTGGTGGAGTACGAGCCTTGAGAGGAAAAAGTTCATGGTTATCACCCAGGCCCTGAGTTCAAAAGTCTGGACTGTCAAGGAAGGAAAGAAGGAAGGAAGGAAATGGAGTCTAAGAGCTGGGGGAGTAGCTCAAGTGGTAGAAGCGCTTTATTATTAAAAGTGATTGGCTTGGTTAGTAGTTACTACGTTTGGTATTTTTTTTTTTGGCATTTAGCATTTCTAGCACATTCTGCATACAGTGGTATGCACAGGAGGCCCAATGTTGCTGCCTCAATGAAACGAACATTCCAATGGACAAATGAGCATTCCAATATAAATATATGCCCAGATGGGGAGGTGGTAAGCACTCAAGACTAAGTCAAGCAGGAGCGTCTTTCCACAGATGTCAGGCAGGGTGAGTGGCAGGGTGGGGGTGGGAGTGGGAGGGGCAGGAGGAGAACCCTGAAGCCAGCAGTTGGGTGGATGGGTGGATGGATGGATGCTGGATGGATGGATGATGGGTGGATGGATGGATGGATGATGGATAGATGGGTGGGTGGATGGATATGTGGATGGATGGGTAGATGGATGGGTAGATGGATGGATGCATGGATGGGTAGATGGGCAGATGGATAGATGGATGGAAAACCAGATCAGATCCCTCCGAGCTCTGCAAACTGGAATGAAGGAGGACTGGCGTTGTAGGACCTGAGGTTTAGGGAGGCTTGGCCATTATGAGAGCTTCAATTTTAATCAGAGTGAAATGGGAAGCCAGAAGGAACAGACTTCATATTAAAAGGGTCAATTTGGGACTAGAGGTGTGGCTCAGAGGCTAAGTGCTTAGCCTAGCACTCATGAGGATCTGGGTTTAATTTCCAGCACTGATTTTTAAAAAATCAGTCTGGATGCTGGATGCAGCTTAGTGACAAAATTGTGTGGCACTTAGGAGCCCAATGGGTAGGGGCAGTGTAGGTAGTAACCAGTGGTTGGGTTTCTGATTTATTCAGAAGACAGGATTGGCTGATGGATGGGTGTGTGAGAAGAAGGTCTGTGTGAGATTTTTGACCCAAGTGTCTGAAAGAATGGAGATGCAACAGATTTAGGGGGAAGGCAGGCAGGAAGAAGCAGCGCCCCCTACCGGATGCAGTGGGAGGTGCCCATTGGGTAGCCAGGGGTGGCTCAAGCCTGTAATCCTGGTGACACAGGAGGCTGAGATCTGAGGATCACAGTTCAAAGCCAGCCTGGGCAGAAAGTTCTTGGAGACGCTTATCTCACATTAACGACTGAAAAGCTAGAGATTTGGCTCACTTGGTGGAACACTAGCCTTGAGCAGAAAAAGCTGAAGGACAGCATCCAGACCCTGAGTTCAAGCCCTAGTACTGGCCAATAAAGAAGAAAAAGGAGGAGGAGGAGGAGGAGGAGAGGGAGGAGGAGGAGGAAGAGGTGGAGGAGGAGGAGGAAAGAAAGAAAAAGAACAAAATTAAGGACAAAAGAAGGCTAGTGGATATGTAAAAGTTTCCAGTTTGGCTAGAGATGTGAAATTGGGAAGTATTACTGAACTGATATTATCTAAAGCCTTATGGAAATGTTCCTGAAATGTTATATTTGTTGTTGTGAACTGCCTACTTAGGAGGCAATTAGAGGAATTGCTGTTTTAAAGCCAGTTGTGAGTCATTGTAATTTTCCCTAAAATTACATTGTATTTTATCTTTTGAGTAAGTCTTGGGTGGGAATTACCTTCTGCCAAATACAGTTCTATTGAGAGGGTCCCAGAATGATGATTCTTCAATTTTGTTTTTTTTAGATTTTTGTGATGATGTGAAAGCAACATGCACTCAGTAGGAATCGGGCTTTGAATTTGGAATATTCATCTTTGTCCTAGGCCAGTGGCATGTGGCTCAAGGCCTCTTCCTGAGTCACAGGCCCCAGGCAGCACTGACAGAGAGGCTCCACTGTGTACACTGGGCTGGTTTGCTACCTATGATGTGGGGTCGGTTAGGCGTGTTAAATGACTTTTTCCCCTTTAACGTAGTGTTTCATAATGTAGCCCTGGCTAGCCTTAAGCTTTCAATCTTTCTGCTTCTAATTCACACTTCCCAAGTGTTAGGACTACAGGCATGAACCACCACACTCATTCATTAACATAACTTATTTTATGGTGTGTGTATGTGTGTGTGTGTGTGTGTGAGAGAGAGAGAGAGAGAGAGAGAGAGCTCAGGGACTGGGTCCTGTCCCTTAGTCCCTTAGATTTTTAGTTCAAGGCTAGCTCTCTACCAGTTGAGCCACAGCTCTACTTCTAGCTTTTTTTTGGGTGGTTAACTTGAGATGAGAGTCTCATGGACTCACTTGCTGCTCAGATGAACTTCAAATCACAATCTTTGGATCTCAGCCTCTTGAGTAACTAGGATTACAGATGTGAGCCAGACTTAACCCTATTCTCAATTTATGAAGGGCTTATCGGAATATAAGTACACCATAAGTTGGGGAACAGCAAGCAAGCAGAGTCAACAAAAATGATTAAGTTTGTTTTCTCTTTTTAACAAATAGTGGCTTAAAACCATATCTAGACTTTGGTGCCTAAGCCCTGAGTTCTAGCCCCAGGAATAGCAAAAAAGAAAAAAAAAGAAAAAGAAAAAGAAAATCCCAAGGAAATAGTTAGTATACAGCAATTTATCAGGCCTCTATTAAATACACAGAATGTCTTTGATGTGGAATTATGTGTAACTATGTAGTAAAAGCCCATAAGAGATAAATGAATTGACAATAATGTGGTACAAATTGCTTCACATAGAAAAATAACCTGAAGTTCTGTGGCTGAAGATGTAGTTGTGTGTAAATGAACCCAATTAATTAAGAAGGAAATCAAAGCTTTACTTTGATTCCCTGCTTTTGTTTCGGTTTCCCAGAAACTGACAAATCAATTGAAAAGCAAAAGAAGTAAAAGAAAAGAGGCCAGGTACTGGTAGCTCCCTGCTGTTATCCAGCAACTCAGGAGGCTGAGATCTGAGGTATGTGGTTCAAAGCCAGCCATGGCAGAAAAGTCTCCGTGAGGCTCTCCAATTAACCACCAGAAAACCAGATGTGTCGCTGTGCCTCAAAGTGGTAGAACATTAGCCTTGAACAAAAGAGCTCAGTATCACTGAGGGAAATACAGATGTGACAGGACCACATTGCATCTGGAGGCTGGAGGGATGATATTCTTGTGTCTCCCAACTGCTGGTGGCCGCCAGCATTCCTTGGCTTATGGCAGCATCCCTCCACTCTTCTGCCTTGCTTGCTGTGTACATTGTCTTCTCCCCTTCTGTGGATGTTGTTTCCTTCTCTCTTGTGCAGACACTGGTGACTGTTTTTAGGGTCCATATAGATAATGTAGGATGTTCTCCTCTGGTCAAAATTCTTACTTTGATTAAATCTGCAAAGATCTCCCCCCCCATATAAAGTAATGTTTTCAGAGCCAGAGATAAGAACTTGGTATCTTTGGGAGTCATTATTTCATCTATTATAATTACTCCAATATTTTTTAACCTTTTTTTTTCCTTAGTGGGACTGAGGTTTGAACTCAGGACCTGGTACTTGGTTGGCAGGTGCTCTACCACTTGAGTCAGCCCTTTTTGCACTGGTTAGTTTTCAGATAGGTTCTTACTTTGTAACTGGACTGGATTATGATCCCCTGATCTCTGCTTCCCAAGTAGCTAAGAATACAGGCTTGAGCCACCATACCCAGCTGTATAGTGGGATATGGATATTAATTAGTACATTTTTTTTAGTGGTGGGATTGAAGAGCTTGTGGGTGCTAGGCAATTGCACAACCACTCAGTTATTCCCCTTCTCTGCAACACACTCTTGCAGTAAAAGTAATTACCTTGTTTGCTCTCTCTGGTAACATTTAAAATATTCCATGAAAAAAAAGTCAGAGAGAGAGAGAGAGAGAGAGAGAGAGAGAAGAGAGAGAAGAGCCAGGCACTAGCAATCCATCCCTGCTACTCAGGAGGCTGA